CTTCAATGGGTTTTGGATCAGGCTCTAAAAGAGCTGCCAAATCATCAGTTCCACTTTACAGGATAATGCTGATGAGAAATGTTTCTTGCTGGAAAGAAGAAGTTTTATCCTGCAGCCCTTAATCAGCACATGAAGGTAATTTCCCAGGGAGAAGTGAAAAGACAGTAAACCTCTCAACAGTATCATGTTCATGCAGGGAGAAAAACCTGATCCTGTCCACTTCCTGATTTCAAATCATTCCAGATCATGTTCATGAGCAACTGTTTACATGTTTCCAATTCCAATGCCATTAACAACAGCAAACAGAAAAAGGGAAGAGAAATAAACTAGCTAAGGTGACCACCTGTCTTGTATCTTAAAGATATCCATAATTTAGCAAGACACTTAGGTTCAATTCATGAAAACAGCCCTCTTCAACAAAGCACTTAAGCACATGCTTAAATTTAAGCTGTTGCTCAAGACCTATAGACCTCCAGTGTGTATGTGAGAGAGAGAGGGAGAGAGTGAAAGGGCGGTTGGTACTAAAAGAAGAGATTTATTAAAGCTCCAGAAAGTTTACATTTCTCAACTCTGCCCTTTCATTCCCCAAGGTTTCCCATTTTATGACTCCCTAATGCGTCTCTACGTCCAATGTTTTTTGAGGAGTTTCCTACCCCCACCCTCACTTCTGCCTGATGATAGCACAATTTCTCTCACACACACACCCCCGCCAAGTGTAGGAAAAAATGCTTTTGTTCTACATTAAACATCTCTCTTCTAGATTCAGTCCACATGGTGCAGGCTTACACCACAAGTGTTTTAGGGAGAAACAGGACTCACTCAGCAACAAGGCTGCCACAGCCCATTTTCCATATTCATGTGCTTGCATGTGTGGTTACTTCAGCAAGGAGAGCATAGACGGAAAGTGCACCCTGCTGTACCTTCCACGCATATGAAATCATGTAACATCAGGGGTGAAAGAGAGATAGCTGGCATAAAACGAAAATCAATTAGCCTGGCAGCAGCAAGAAGATCTGAGATACCAGAAAGAGGACTGGGGAACTGGAGCTACAGTTGCTCCTTGTCTTCTCCAGTGAGTGGCGTATCTGAAGCCCACACAGTGGCATATCTGAAGCCCACACCATCATTTTTTCACAGCTTTGTGCTCTAAGTGGACAAGAAAGAGGCAAGAGCAATGGTTTGATAATCTGGCATTTGGGTACCAAACAGTGAGTTGAGCCGCCTCCACATTAGCTAGGTGGAAATAGCACCTGTGTCTGTTTGTACATCAAGGGAGATGATTGGGGGAGGGAGTGTGGGGGAGAAATACTGAACACATGACATTTACAAAGTTACAGCTACAGAGGGGTCTGACCTGACACATCGGATGAGACCATCCTCAGACCTTAGGGAAGTTCAGATCTGGATCTAAATTTGCACCTCAGACCTATCTACAGCTCCCTCAAGCATGCAGCAGAAATGAAGTAAATAGCAGGGCCGGCTCCAGGCACCAGGCACCCAAGCTGGTGCTTGGGGCGGCACCTGGAGGGGGGCGGCGCGGCGCTCCGGCCGCCGGGGAGAGCGGGGCCACAGCCGGGCTCGCTGCCCTCCCCCCTGCGCTCTGGCCGCCGGCGGGGAGAGCCGAGCCCCAGCTGGGGCTCGCTGCCCTGCCCCCGGCGCTCTGACCGCCAGAGGGGGAGAGCCTAGCCCCAGCCGGGGCTCGCCGCCCTCCCCCCAGGGCTCTGGCCGCCCTCCCCCCCGGCGCCCTGCCCCCGGCGCTCTGGCCGCCGCGGGGGAGAGCCGAGTCCCCCCCGGCGCTCTGGCCGCCGGGGGGGGAGAGCCGAGTCCCCGCCGGGGCTCGCTGCCCTCCCCCCGGGGCTCCGGCCGCCCCCCCCCCCCCGCGGGGGGGGGGGGGGGGGCGGCCGGAGGCTTTTTCGCCTGAGGCGGCGAAAAAGCCAGAGCCGGCCCTGGTAAATAGTATGCCTAAAAGAGCGTGAGCAATTGTGAAAACAGCCAAATATTGAGCAACACATGCAGTGAGAAATAATACTAAACATCGAATCCTGAAATTATGCTCATTAGTTAAGCATTGAAAATGTGTTGGACCTTCCTTTATTATTTGCATTTTTTTTCCAATTGTGGTCTTTACAGAAGAAGTGGGGCTTTAGGAGAGATATGAATGAAGAGAGGCACACAGGGAGCTGGAGGTTACTCATGCATAGGAGGCAGCATGAAGGTAGGAATGGGAGAAGGAAATGAAGAGGTCATTGTTGCTGAAGCAAAGGAGGAGTGGGAAATGTGAGGCAAGATCAGATACATAGGTTCAGGCAGAGCTTTGCAAATTCATTCACATTAATTAAATGAAAGATTGTAGCCGATGGTAATACACAAATTCACATTTGTCTGAATACTCTTAATACTTTCACTGATTCAAATTGTACTCAGCAAAATATTTTGCTAATATTCTGTAGGGAACAATTCTACATTGGCCTGAATGACCAAATGGGTCTTTTACAGGTCAAATTTCTAATCAGTCGAATCCTAAGGTCGATAGAAGGATTAATGATTAAAAACTAGTAAGGACTTCAGGGTTTGGCCAAAACAAAACAAAAAACTTAGGGGCAAGTTATGTAAAGGAGAGGCTCATGAAACCTACTGAGTCAGCAATAACTGGGTCATTAAAATGACTGCTTGCAAATGTCCACTATTGAAAAGCAGATGTGTGCACAGTGAGATCTGCGAATCTTTCACCTGCTCAGCTGGAGTGAAGGAGTATAGTAGTATTTTATTTGTCAGTTGACCCTCTTTATAATGTATACAAAACAAAGTAATCAAATAGTAAAAAAATGCAGTTACAATTCATTCTTTCCTCCCAAATCCCAGCATCCGTATTTCAACCCCCACGGGGAGAGCAGGAATGAATTGACATGGTACATTCAGCTATGTTTTTGAATCAGATGTGGTTGTTTAAACACACAGTTCCTATTAGTGCTAACAGGAGCTGTGCCCAAATCTACCACCTTTATATTTTCCACACTAGCCTCCATTTCATGCTTGTTTCCAGATCTTCGACCCAAGCTCCACTCGAACATCAAACTAGTATGGGTTTCCTATCTTAAAGGGTTTTTAATTTTTCAGTTCTCACTCATTCTGGTCTCATTTCTATTTTTATCATCTCTGCTGAGTAGTAGCAGCAGCAGAGCAATTGTGAAGCAAAGGGGTAGTTATAGTCTAAGCTGGAGCTATTTAGACCACTCACATTTATACTGGTGTCCTTCTGTCTCTCCAAATAATTGGTAATGGCTTCCATACATGGAGTTTTGCCGTTGACTTCAATAGGATCAGGATCTCACCCATGGGACTCTAAAGATATATATGCTGGTACAATGAGTTGCACGATATATGTACAAGTTTGGTTTTTTTCTTCTGGGGAAATATTATGCCTGGAAACGAGAAAATAAGAGGTGATTCATTTTCTGTGTTAAAAACTCTCTTCCTCTTTCAAGGAAGTTAATTCAATAACAACATTACTTATAAATAGCGGTACAGAAGCTTTGTTTGGGAAAAACCTCAACAGCTTTCCCAACTCACTGTAAAGATGCTTTACATGGTTCTATTTTGTATCTAATACATCATATTCCGATATATTCATGTATAGAAATTAAAAACAGAAATTAAGGAGACATACGCTTGTATTCCATTGGTGATGGGCAGACCATTTGGGTAAATAAGAATCGCTTGAAACTCTCTACCTATTTCAAGACTCCAACTGAAATGGAACCTTTTTTAAGCTATGAAGTGTCTTGATACAGTATATGTTTTTTAAAACTTTCAGGTGCCAAGATAGCATGAGAAGTTCTGTCCTGGTGAGATTTCCAGACTGTGTTTTCAGACTCAAGAAGCTTAGATAGCTCAGATAAATACTCAGGCTTTTAGATGTTTATCCAGACTTAAACCAAACTAATTTCTAAAGCTTATTGATCACTATTATGCATAGAACACTAATATTTAGGTGAAGAGTGAGGAAAGGAGATATGCTGTGATTACATGCTAAAAATGATAGACATCTATGAAATAATTAAGATGAAGGTGATAAAAAAAATTCTTTAAGCTGCTGAGAGTAAAAGAGGGACCTAACTCTAGAGTCAGTTAGGGATCTTCTAAAGAGAAATAAAGTAAAGTAATGAGGAAATATGCTCTTTAAAAAGGTACTGTAATATGATGTCTTCTAGCACAGTTATTTAAAGCAGAAGGCACTACACCTTATGTCTGTGAAGGAATTAATCCTTAAATCTGTTATCAAGTCTGGAGTCCTTTCTATAATTTGGTCATCCATTGAAAGGTTTAGCAATCTTTTATGGAGTGAGATTATAACCAAGGGCAGATCATGCTCCCATTGAGTTAATGGGAGCTTTGCCATTGACTTCAGAGGCAGTAGGAGCAGGCCCCAGGTTTGTTGCTTGTCTTGAACAACAAAAATATTTGATTTCTATAGTATAAGACTTGACAGAACTATAATAATAAGCCAGAAATGACAAGATGATCCATAGCAAAACTTAGATTGCAAATGTATACAGTCAGGGGTGTGTCTCCCCCTATGTTTGTACAGAGTCTAAGGGCTGGTCTACACCCAGCCTCTAGTTCGGCGGCTGGGGATCGAAGTTCTGGGTTCGACTTATCGCGTCTGGTCTGGACGCGATAAGTCGAACCAGGAAGTGCTCGCCGTCGACTGCGGTACTCCAGCTCGGCGAGAGGTGTACCGCGGAGTCGACGGGGAGCCTGCCTGCCGCGTGTGGACCGCGTCTGAACCGCGGTAAGTTCGAACTAAGGTACGTCGACTTCAGCTACGTTATTCACGTAGCTGAAGTTGCGTACCTTAGTTCGACTTGGGGGGTTAGTGTAGACCAGGCCTAAAAGTCACAGATCCTGATTTGGGGCCCTTAGATGCTATTTTATTATTTATGAGAAGTGGTACTGCAGGCATATTTTATTTCATTTTTTTTATTCTCCCTCCCACCTCAGGTCCTTCATTCACCTCAGTCTGACTGCACCCAACCTCTGTGTTAATGGTGGTTCTTGAATAATTGAACTCCCTCTTCCCCAGGTATACCTGATCTGATGATTTATATGGTAATCCATTATAGGATAATATGACATAAGCTTTTTGTGAAAGTGACTAATACTTTTGTTGAGCAATAAAAGGATTCCTCTCCAGTAATGCTCCTTTTACCTCAAGGAAAAGACTCTCAAACACTCTGCCACTACTTCAGTCTCAGGATGGTTTGAAATCCCCAGACACCAATGAAGATAATGAAAGCTGAGAGAAGCAGGCAGCATAGAGACAACAGAGCAATGAGCACCTACCAAGGCACTTACTCATTGTAGCTTCTATAGATTCTTGACAGCATTACAATAATGACAGCAGGGCCTGATTTGCCACTACCTGACACTTGTTTAACATTTTACGTACTTTGCACAGATGTAAATGACTATACAAGGAGCAGGACCTACAACTGTAAGATCTGTGGCAGAGGTTTGGCCCATAATATTTAGGGAAGATTTACATTTTGAGACCTAGGTGGGTTTCAAATTAAAATTACATACATTTAGAATAACTTAAAATGAGTTCAAATTTGCCTGACATTTTCCCCCTGCGAATGTGGGGAGAGGGAGTCATCTAAGTCCCTCTTGGGTCTCAAAGGATTTCCCATTTTTATAAACCAAACCATTGTGCGTTCCCAAAAGAGGGACTGGATTTGGGTGGGAATTCAGCTCTAGGTGATGATAGCCCCTATACTCCCTGTCTTAAAGAGTTTTTTCAGACTAGAACATTAGATTCTGCTATTACTATTACTATTCTGTTTTTACTAACTATAAGTCTAGAGGTCCCAGGACTTGTTCCTCCTTCATGAACTGAGGCATTCCCGTTAGTTCTACTACCATCAGTGAGGATTCTTATCCTAAAAGTTTGTCTGTTTTATCTGCCGGGTGTCTGAAAAGTAGCATCACCTAGCCTTTTGCCTCAGATACCTCCCCAGAACTCCTCAGATTTTGCTCCTGTATATCCTAAAAAGATTTAAATGATTTGCTTGCGACCAGGTCTTTTAGATATCTTCTGCTCTCCACACCCTATCTAGGCCATGTATCTTCCTTCTATTTTTACAAGCAAGTTTCACCAAACTGGAGCTTCCTGATAAAGAAACTGGAGCTTCTTTAGCTCTGTTTGACCATCTCCATGCCTCCCAAGAATGGGGTTATTAATAGCTGTCAACAAATTAACTTGCCTCAGCATGTCATAGGTGGCAAAGCAAAAATGTGTCTGGTTCTTTCTTTTAACCTCATCCTGGACAGACAGCAATACACCAAAAAAACATGTACCATTGTAGGGTCAATATGAAATTCCAGTGATCTAATTTAAATAGACCAAATTCTGAAATCCTTGATATTTTACTATATCTTTGTTCAGGCTAAACTCCTACTGGAGTCAATAGCATAAAATCTGCATGTGGATTTCGGGATTTTGCCTAATGACTTTATTGCATGAAAAGGCAGTGAAATGTTGCCAAAGTAGAGCTGGCAAACTCAGGTTGTCAGCTGCTTTGGAAAGCTGAAAAGGTAGTTGATATTATTCTAAGTTAAATATGTTTTCTTTGTTTAAATGCTGCATTACTTACCTGACAAGCTTCAGGTAAAAAAACAATATATATATTGCCCACATGAATTCCATTCAACATTTTACCTTTTTTTCTTTTTTAAAAACAGAAGAACCCCTCACTCCCTAACCACACATACAATGTTTATCTCCACTTTTTGGGAACCAGGAAATCCAGTGTGGAAGCTGATGGTACACAGTGTTCTGAACTCACTTTGCCATTGTTTTCTCCACAGCAGCATGAGTTAATGATATAAAGAAGTTCAACCTTCAAACGTTTTGGCTTTGAATTTTTATGTCACAACAATACTGCAATATAGGCATTCTTGTTTGTATTGTTGTATCCTTTAGTTACAGAGTCAAACTCTAGTGCCTGTGCGTGCACATTCAAGGAGAGGATTTGGCCCACAAGTGGGTTGGCTGAATTACACAGCAATATTACAATATATGCTGAACAATGTATCCAAGTACAGTACATTAGATCATAAAGCTGATGTTTGATCCGAGCTTGATTTAAAGCACTAATTTCAAAGCTTCTTAGTTTCCATTAACAGACAGATTTTGTATAGCAGAAGTAAACTGGTATCTTATTTGGTCATGAGACTATTTTATAAATGCTTAATTTAAAAAAAATATATAAACTACACAATAAAATACAGGCCTTAGGAGAACATGAGAAAAAAATAAAGGAATTTCTTTATTATTATTTTTGAAGGAAGGCAGACAATGCAGAAGGAATTAAATACGATGAAAAATGAGGATGTATGTTTCAATGTTGACAAAACACACACATCACACTGCCTGCAGCCAATGGACCCTGATGTGAAGTCTCACAGAACTGCACCACTCAGTGAAGAATTCAGGGCACAGCTTGCACAGTTCCAGTATGGTCCTTCCCTGGGGGATATAGAAACCTTTCATGGATCCTTAGAAGGAGGGTCCCGGAAACGCAAAAGCATGCCCACAAAAATGCCTCACACTATCCCCACAGGAGATCCTACATCACCATCACATGGATCTGAAAACAACAATGTATGCTCCCCCAGTCTTTCTTTGATGTACCAACAACCCACACAGCCCAAATACAACTCCCAAATGATTGATCTGTGTAACATTGGCTTTCAGTTCTACAGAAATCTGGAGCACTTTGGAGCCACGCCCATTAAACAAGAACCAGTAAAGCCCAACATGATGTGGCCCAACACTTCTGCATTTGTGCAGACTCCTTACTCTTATTACCCAAAAGTCCACCCTGGCCTGATGTTTCCTTTTATTATGCCCCCAAACTTCCATTTCAGGAATTCCTTCCAACTGAAAAGACCCCTGGAGCCAGCATTCAGGAGGACTGAACTGAGGGAAAGTGGTGACAGTAAACAGAAGGTGGAAAGAGTAGATGTCAACCTCCAGATTGACGACAGCTATTATGTTGATGTAGGGGGAGAACAAAAACGATGGCAATGCCCAATGTGTGAAAAGTCCTACACTTCCAAGTACAACCTGGTCACCCACATCTTGGGACATAGCGGCATCAAACCTCATGCTTGCACTCGGTGTGGCAAGCTTTTCAAGCAGCTGAGTCACTTGCACACTCATATGTTGACACACCAGGGCACTCGACCACATAAGTGCCAGGTGTGTCACAAGGCTTTCACCCAAACCAGTCACCTGAAGAGACATATGATGCAACACAGTGACATCAAGCCCTACAACTGTAGGATCTGTGGCAGAGGTTTTGCCTATCCAAGTGAACTGAAAGCCCACGAGTCCAAGCATGAGAGTGGCCGAGAGAACATTTGTGTGGAGTGTGGTCTTGACTTTCCAACCCTGGCCCAGCTGAAGAGACATTTAACAACCCATCGAGGTCCTATACAATACAATTGCACAGAATGTGATAAAACTTTCCAGTACCCAAGCCAGCTGCAAAATCACATGATGAAGCACAAAGACATCCGTCCATACATCTGTACTGAATGTGGCATGGAGTTTGTACAGCCCCACCATCTCAAGCAACACTCTTTAACCCACAAGGTAAGTCACTAATGATTAAATTTGCCCTGGCTCTGAAGGCCAGCACAAGGATTATGCACCATTAAAGTCCCACTTAAGTCTCCAAAAAGAACTGACATGGTATACAGGCCCTTGTAGAGGCCCTTTGTATGGATCTGAATTTTATGCAAAGAGAACCAGAACAGTATGGCCAATAACAGAAACTGGCTCTAGTCTTAAAAAAGGCAATGCAAGAAAAAGACCATAACCAGGAGTTCAATCAAGTTGCTTGTATTACTTCCCAAATTTCAGTTCACATCCTCTGCTCCAGTTTGGTTTTTATCTTCATAAAAACCATAGTTTTGTATAATGATCTTTAGCAATGAAACTTCTACAGAACTTTTTTTATACCTGTGCATAGACAAGTATATTACTGCTTGGCAGATTTTGTATAAGCAGCTTCTGCACTATATTTAGAAAAACCAAACCAACCTCGACCATGTTATGTAGAAATAATCCAGAGTACAAGTGACTAGAGCTGGGCAAAAAAGGGCCTGATCCAAAGCCCATTGACATCAATGGGAGCCTTTGCACTGGCGTCAATAGGTTTTGGATTAAGTGTATAATTTGGAATGAATAACTGAAGATTGTTTTAAAACAGAAAAGAGTTTTCAACATGATGTGTAACAACTGAAATCAGAATTATCCCAACATCACAAACATATTGTAAAGATCAAATGATCTAACAATCAAAATGCATTTTAATAGACTAGTGCTGATAAACTAACGAATACACCCATATGTTTTATGAAGAATTGTTTTCAGATTTGTGTTTTTTTCCCCAGGGGTCTACTTTGGGTTAATGTTTAAATTTAAACATTAAGAACACAGAAAATTGCAAAATTTAAGTATTATAAGCTAATTTTTTAAAGAATAATCTCTATTTTCACTTCTGATTTTCTTCCCAATTCCCCTACTGTCACTTCTGTAGAATCAACCCTTCTTTGGATTTACACTATAATTTTAAACTTACCTAAAAGTCTAATAAAAACTTGCAATTAAAAAATGCAACACCTTCTTGCCCTCACCCTTGTGACACACCTGCCCAAGAAAGAGCCTCTACTTTTCACCCACAATTAGTCAGGTGAGGTCAGTTGTGAGCACAATTTAAGTACTTAGCTGTCTAACTGCCTGAGTGGAGCCTCAGATCAGGTAGTTGGGTATCACAAAGCTATCATTCGTATCCACAGTTAATGTCTTATCCCCAGGGATGGTCAATAATCCCCATGAAATGCCCAGTGCCACTAATATTATTGTTTAATTGCATGACTCTTTGCTTCTTACAAAAATTGAGCAGGTACTATTTTTCCATATTTTTCTTCAAAATAGAGGCAGGCTCTTTCTTTGTTACATAGGGCTTGATCCAATACCCACTGAAGTCAAAGTCTCACCATTGACTTCAACAGAGATTATCCCAGGCTCAATGTTATCAGATGTTGGCAAGTTATTTTATGTCTCACTTAATTAGTTTATACATGTTTGACATGCTATTGGTATACATGCAATTGGTAGTTAAGCTATACAGTAGGGTAGCAGAATTTTGCCATTGGTTTGTCATTTGGGTGTCCTAGTGATATTAATACAGGGTAAAATTTTCAAAAGCAAGCGACAGGCTACTACGACCCATTTTCTAAAAGGAGTTAGATCGGGGTTCTCAGACTGGGGGTCGGGACCCCTCAGGGGGTCGCAAGGATATTACTTGGAGGGTCGTGAGCTGTCAGCCTCCACCCCAAGTCCCGCTTTGCCTCCAGCATTTGTAATGGCGTTAAATATATTTTAAAAGTGTTTTTAATTTATAAGGGGGGTCACACTCAGAGGCTCGCTATGTGAAAGGCGTCACCAGCAGAAAAATTTGAGAACCACTGAGTTAGATACTTCTGAAAATTTTCCCCCCAGTGTTGTATAATCATTTCTCACCACTAATAAAATCACATGATGCTCTTATAGCCTACAGGATGGTCTTGTGCCTAAGGCACAGAACAGAAATCAGGAGACCTGGGTTCAGTTTAATGGCTCTGCCACCGACTTCCTGTGGGACCTTGGGAAAGTGATTTCACTTCCCCATGCTTTGGTTTTCCCCCATGTGTGAAATGGAGAACATGCTCCCCTACATTAATATTCATAAAGTGCTCTGTGATCCTTGGATGAAAGCTCTATAGAAGTGCAAAATATTAGCTAAACAGAGTTTGAAAGCTGAGGCAGAATAACCTGATATGACTGCTCTGTAAAACTTATTGAGGGAAGTGACACTTATTGTTCCTCAGTCCTATTTATACTGTTTTGTGGTATAGACATTTTATGGTTTCTTTTTCCACCTTTTAGAATCTTACAGAAATTGACCAGAAGAAAAAAGTATCCAAATATCTACCACTTCAGCAGTGTGATATTAACAAGAATTGAATTTATTCATTGTTTCACTAGCACAGCTTGAATATATATTCATATAACGGCTTTGAAAATAAATGACTGAAACAGGCACACCTATTCAGTTTTCTGACTCTCTGTTTCCATAAGGGTGTGAAAGAGCACAAATGTGGGATCTGTGGCCGGGAGTTTACTCTGCTAGCCAACATGAAGAGACATGTGTTGATCCACACCAATATCCGAGCCTACCAGTGTCACCTGTGCTTCAAGAGCTTTGTGCAGAAACAGACTCTGAAGGCACACATGATTGTTCACTCTGATGTCAAGCCCTTTAAATGCAAGGTAAGCATTTCTCATGAGTTTGCAGAGGTACATTATCAGTGAATGCTCCCGAGATTTCATTACGTGTGTCCGGATGCAATTGGAAAAGCAATGCCTAAAAGAATATTACATCTTTTTTTCAAATTCACTTTTCAAAATAATAGTTTGGTTTCTTTTCTTAAGCCAAGTAGTTTCAGGGCAGGAATAACATCCAAAAAAAGGGGTAGGAGAACTTCCAGATTATTTTTCATTACACACACACACACACACACACACACACACACACACCCTTAAATATTATCAGTATTCTCAATCTTGAAATTGTATTTTTTCCTTAGTGAGTACTGAATGTAGTTGCTAGTCTGATGATAATAAAAATACCTGACATTTATCTGGCATATTTCATTCTAAAGGAAGACAAAGTGCTCAACAACCTGATGCACCCATTAAACACACAGATCAAGGCATTGACCCTGGGAGTCACAGAAATGTACCAATGTTAACAGTGCACCATAATTCTACACCATAGCTGGTGCAGGACACAAAGTATATCATAGCAAAACAGAACTACAGGGAGATTTTGAATAGGCCAAATGTAGTTGCCCTATTACAACTGAAATTTGGCCAGGACATTAGTATCCTAACAAAACAGCCTTCTGAAAAATACTTGTTTGCCTATTCGTGGTGTCAACCAAATAACATAGGATTATCTTAGGCAGGATTGCTACCTCCATCAAGACAGCACACAGGAAATTAAAGGGATGTAAAACACACCTAGATTTGAACTTCCCCTAAGTTTGGAGGCATTTGGATTTGTGGTTCTGGTTTACACCCACCTCTAATTCATAGGGAAGACGTTATTCAAGTTTCTTTTCCTGCTTAAGGCTGGCCTGTACAATCATCCTTTTTGATTCTTTTATGTATTACTTCTTTTAACTGACCACCTGGCTCAGTAATATAGCTTTATCTTAAAATGCCCAAACTTGCATGTTTCATTCTCACTTGGGTAACTATTACGCACACAGTAACTGAGTGAAGCATAAATGCCTAGCAAGCAATATTTTCCAGTTCCTGCATAAACACTTGGAGATTGATCTGGATGCAATCTCTGTAAATTCTTCATTCAACAGTCTGGAACTAGATTGGTTCTTAAGGGAAACCAAGAGTAGAGCTAATCAAAAATTTTTCAATTAAATAGTTTTCTGTTGGAAACTGCAGTTTCGTCAAAATCAAAATGTTTTACAGGAATATAATTATTTCAATTAAAATTTTAAATGGAAAAAAGTCAAAACAAATTGTTTCAACTTTCTTGTTTTGTTCCAATAATGTTGAAACATTTTGTTTTGACTTTCATTTCAATTCTGCTTGTTCATATTTTTATATATTACAATATTATTTTATTACAGTGATATTTAACATTATAGCATATTGTATTTAATGTTATATTCTATTGTCCTGATATTACCAAAACAAAACATTTTTACCTTATCAAAACAAAATGTTTTGATGGTACCAAATACATTATTTTCTAAATTTTTGATCTATGGGAAATTTCAAAACTTTCAGCCTTTTGTTCTGATTCAGAACAAACTGGAGTAGTAAGCAACATGTTTTTCAGCTAGTAGCAAAAGCTTCAGTGGAACACCTGTTTTTTTCCTAGCTCCACCCAATGTCCCCTCTCAGAACAGAAACAAGTAAGTGGACCAGATTCTTCCCACAACACTGGTGTGAATCAGAAGTAATGCCTCTAAAATCAAATGGAGTTGTACTGCTATAAGTGAGGAGTATATCGGGGCCCTAGCTTTTGGGATCTCCCTTGCCTGTCTGGCAGAATCCCCAAAGGAAACTTGGATTAGTCAAGCCCTTTTGGATGGTATTCAGAGGGTTAAGGCAATGACCAGATAGCAGCCTTTTGGCACCAAGCTCCTCCTCAGCAGAAGGAAGGATATAGCTGCATGAACTGCCGGCTTAACAATGGCTCATATGTCCCTAGGGAACCGCCTGCAAATAGATTTCATCTTGCTTTCTCTTGTACTTTTCAAAGTTTCCTGTTTTCTCACGGTCCTTTTGGACAGTTTACAGTCTTTCTCCCTCTCCTTCTCTCTCTGTGAGGAAAGGAACACCCTTCTTATGAAGAAAAAAAAAATAAAAGAAGAAGAATGTAAGGGAAGGACAGCACAGCAGTGGCCTTTCTATCTCACTGCAGGCCGCAATTTTCGTGTTTTTTTTCTCATAGCAAAAGAAAACACAAGGCTTTCCTATATGTCTAATCACAGTCACGCACAGACTATCTGGTGCTAGGGAGTAGAAAATAGTTGTGCCTTGTGTTTCCTCACCCAGCTGCAGCTTGTAATCTCGTTTGGCTTGCTCTCTGAAGAGTGAAGATCCTTGCAGCTTTTAAAAAACAAAGTCTGGGCTTCCTTATTAACAAAAAAATACTACAGTATTCTACAGCAATTGCTCCCAATGATACACTATTGCTATAGTAAAATGTGAGGACTGCTTCTACTGAAATTAATAGGAAGTTTGCCGTCGGCACTGAAATCAATAGCATTTGGACCTTTAATATAGAACAATACGGTTTTCTCTCCAATACTGCCAAGTACACTTGGTAGCTTCCATCTTGGAGTAAAAGATTAATTCATGCTCATTCAGTCCTTGACTTCTCTTCTAAGACTGCCCATGAGGGTGCTAGTGTGTACCAAGCTTCCCCATTACATCCAAGAGCATTGTTTCAAACCAGTAGCCAATGACAATGAAATCATGCTATAAAAAAATTTTATAGACTCATAAAATGCTTGACAGATTCTAAGGGTGGTGCTTTCTGCTATGGGTTACTGCACAGCATGAGCAAATGGCTCAGCTTACTCAAAGTTTTGTAATGAAGTACCTGTAAGCCAGTGGGCCAAACTCACTGGCCAGTGCATCAAAGCAGCAGTTCTCTCAGCAGCTATAGGAGTTCAGTTCCTTTTTGTCAGGGACGGAGTTTTATTTCTCACAAATAAACCAGTTTAACGTAAGTTCCACATGTAAACCATGTCCTTTCCCCTGGCCTGGGATCTCTCACAGTAGACTGTCTGCTCCCCGTTGATCTCACTGCCTGGGAATTAAGAGCCTCTTTACTACATTCTGATGGAGTTTTCTTCCAACAGACTGGCTTCCAGCCTTCCTAGCCGGCTCCCAGCAGGGTTCCACTCCCAGGCTGTCTGTCTGGGACCTAAGGAGAGCCTCTCTGCTCCCTTTTTCTCTCTGGCCTGTTCCCTGAACTCAGGCTGCCATTTATATCCCCACAGAACTGACTCTGAGTCACAATCTTCTACCATGTGACCCTGGAACTTATTCTTTTCAGTTGGGAAGGTAGGCTAAGCCTGGCAGAGAGTGGAACTGAGCCTGAAACCCCACAGAGGACCAGCTCACCCTGTAATAGTGCCCTTCACTGCCATCCCCTCTACCCAAAAGATATAATTTTATTTCCCTTGTTTTATTTTCCTGTAGCACCTCTCCCATGGGTTTTCTCTTGGCATCATTCCCCCCCCTTCCCCCATCACAGATTCAGATTCCAACTACATTCCTCAGCTCTAGCGAAAAGTGGCTTTAGGGTCAGTAGCAAATTTAGCTGTGTTCCATCCCTGAAACTGTGAATGATTCAGGGAAATGGAAACCCTGTCCTCTTTGTCCAGAAACTAAAACCCATGTTGTGCCACATTGTATGCCCTTTTGTTTCCTCCAGAGTAAAGAAAGCAAAAATATGTACTACTGGCCAAAAAGGTTCTTACAGAACTCATTTTTACACCCAATATCTTATAAAGATTCCTAGATAAAATAACTACTTTAATTATCCAGACTGGTGTTTTACTTCCATTTCTTTGGTTAGTGTTTTAGATGTATAGGTACTAATATCTACTAGGCTGAGAAACAGATTAGCCGTAACACAAACAATAGATGACCTCATGCTAACAAATATCTGTTTGGCAAAACACAGTTCATCTCTATGAAGGGTTTTTAAATTCAGAGAACCATTGATATATCATAGGCTGTTCCAGCTGCTGTCAAGAGCAGCTATTGCCCTTCATAGATTTTACTATGCTAATCAACACTCCTTTGCCTCTCTATTCCCCTCCCAACATATTTAGGATGCTTTTTGAGGCATTGATTTCAATAGGGATTGCTCACTGAATGTGAATGAGAGCAGAGTTTGATCCTGTAGTATTTGATCACACAGATTATGATAAGTCAATTGCTGCAGTCACTACCACTACAAAAGATTAGCAAAAAACTAAATTAAAAAAGCATCAGACAGCAATCTGAGGATGGAAGAGATCCAGATCATGGTGAAATCTGCATATGTTATTATTTCTGTATACAATCTGCTGTGAATAGAGGTGGTCAAGTAGTGGGCAACTATTCAATTGACGAAACAAGATTTCACAAGCAGAAAATGAGTCAGTTGTCTATGAACAGTTTATAATTGTCGAATGTATAGGTCTGAAATGATTTGTCACAATTTCTACAAATAATTCTTGACTATAAATGGTGCATAGCCTGTTCATTGCAAATATTCAAAATTTGAAATATAACCCATGAGGTTTGTTACTTTTCTTGGATGCATAGTACACACAGTCCTGTTTCCTAATTGGATGAGTAACTCTTAGAATCAAGTGTCCTGTGTGAATACTCACAGTTACAAACTAATAATTCATTTTCTGTGAGTATTCTGAAGTATTTAGTTAAAATTGTTTTTTTCTGTGAACACTTTTGCCAATAAACTTGCTAGCATATTTGCAGAAGGCAAAACAAGGACTAACACAGCGGAAGCAAATCATTTAAAAATGCAAGTGACTATTTTCAGATTTTTTCAGTATTCATTCAACTCTATCATCGTAGATTTTAAAATAATACTCAGATACCATGCAGTTTTTAATAGTCCAGTTAACTTTTCTCTGAGGAAAGTGGGGAGCAGTTATAGTGTCAAAAAAAGGGGGGGGCAAGAGAGGGAAGAGTATTCTACCTAAGATCAGCCCACAATTTTAAATTTCCCCCACAACAGCAGATATTCTGGTAGACAGCTTGACAAATTTGAATAATCCCTCAAACAATGGTATAGCAGATTTCCCAAAACTATGTTAAATATCTAAATCCAAATTCAAATGAAACCAAGGTTTCTAGTTTAAATCTAGTGAAATGCACTTTTAGCATTTTCTCCCTATAGAAAGCACTATATTTAGCTAAGGAGCCCCTGGGCTCATGTAATATGAAGATGCTGATTAATCAGTTCAACTGGGAAAAGTCTTTGGCTAAAATTCTTCCAAAAAGGAGTTCAAACGGACAGCATGCAGCGGGTTCTACAACTGCTGGAAACATTCCTGACTGGGCGAGACACCAATCCGAAAGGAAGAAATAAAGTTACTTGTTACATCCTTATCAGGAATTGGAAGTCCAGAAGTCTATAACAGGGCTAACAAACGCCTGTGTGTTTGAGAGCACATTTTGTTTATAGGGGAAGAGGTAATGAAAGGAGACATCTAGAAACAAAACAAAACAAAAACTCAACATATTGTTTCATCAAAGGGAAACTTGCCGGATCAATGGCTGCTGCTGGAACTAACATGCTCCAAGGAAACCTGAGTCATTGTTGCAGCCACAAGACTGTCTAAACTCCAGCTTACTCATCACAGGCACAAAATACAGAAGCTAGTACACAGAAGAGGAGAGGATCAGAGAAGAATGGAGGGGACGGGGAGGGAAGGAATTGCTTTTACTATCTTTCAGCTAAAAGCTTCTGTTATTTGAAGTCCATGGATAGGGAAGCTATACACAGGTTCACTGCTTTACTGATACATTGCACCTGTCTGATCTTTCATCAAAAGTTCTCCACGTTCCATCATGGTATGGTATTGTTCCTGATTAAGGTCTAGATTTAAAAAGCAGAAAGTATATGGCCTGACTGAACAGAATTTTGCACTTGTGCCTATAGAACTGAGCCTCTTATCCCCATTCTATGGGCTTTCTGATTCTGAAGGGGCCTTGAATTTGATTCTTATGTCATTAAAAAAAAACAAAAAACAAAGTCTTTGCTTAGCTGTATATGAATGTGTCTGGACAGAATAAGCCCAAGCACACATTCCTATAGTGACAGTTTGTTTTTGTTCTTCGGACACAGTTTGGAATGATAAAATGAAGTTCCTGGCAGAAGCTGTCTGGGCTGCAGTACATTCTCATCTCAAGGGGAGATTGTATTTACCTGCTTGCCTTGTAGGTGCATCTACAAAATAAATCATTTTAATTTCCATTATTCTTGACAGCTGTGCGGGAAGGAATTTAACAGAATGCACAATTTAATGGGACACATGCACTTGCATTCAGACAGCAAACCATTCAAGTGTCTCTACTGTCCCAGCAAATTCACCTTGAAGGGAAACCTCACCAGACACATGAAAGTCAAACACGGGGTCATGGAAAGAGGATTTCATTCTCAAGGTAATAATTAGCAAGAAGGTTGTTCTTGCAATGTTTTGAATGCACATAATAACACTGTAAAGGACACAGTAACATAGATCTCAGAAGATACAGTTGTTTCTCTGCTTTTGATACTAGAAGTTACTGAACTCATATTGCTGGGAGATTATATTAGAGTGAGAGAGATTTATTGAACCACATCAATATTTTCTAAACATTACCCCCAGCCTGACCTGTCACTGTTCTCCAATATCCATCATCCTTGTATCTCCATCTTGTCGAGCCTAGATAGTGCAGTAGATTTTCTCTCTCACTGATAAGTTTGGGCCATGGATGGGAGAGAGTTGGTTGGGAGTCAGTCCTGATAAAACCAAGGTGATCATGGTGGGTTGAAGAAACAATTGAAGGACATAGCTGAGATTATATTGACCCTCCTGATTGAGGGTGTAGTTCCATTATTTTTAAGTAAAATTTGCAACTTCATTTGGTGGGATTCCCAGCTGTTTTTAGACCATGCAATCGGAGCAGTGGCCAGGAGGACTTTGTTCCAACTTCATGTGGTCAGGAGATTGCAACTTTTTCCTCTCAGATTTTGACCATGCTGTCATGAGCCATATCTTGGTCACTATAAGATTTGGTTATTACAGCGGTGATCTATAAGGGGCTACATCCTTCGGAGGCTCGAAGCTGGTACAAGATATAGCAGATTTTTTGTTGCAGTATCTCACAGGGAAGCATTGGGCACCAGCGCCCCATGATCCTCACTGACGGCTTATTGGCTTCCAAAGCGTCAGGTTTGACCTGTAAAGCCCCAAATGGTCTAGAATCTTCCCACCTGAGAGATAGCTGGGTCAAGCTGGGCAGAGATCAGAGGAGGAACTCAAAACTCCCTGAGTTTACAAGGAAATGAGCATTCATGAGAGTTTTCTCCATTAGGGCCCACACCTTTGAAATCTACTCCCCATCTTGGTCTGAACAATCCTCATTAGTTAACCCTTGAAGAATATGCTGCAAAGCCCGTTTCTTCAAACAGGCATTTGGGCAGAATTGAGGTGGTTGGGGCATGGGTTTCATTTGGGAATCTGGGTGGCAGAGAGATTTTATTAAGTTAGATTTTCTTAACTGGCTTTTTGAGCTAGGTGGAATTTGTTAGTGTGTTTTTAATAGTTGCTAGGATGCCTATAGCCTGGAATACATGATTTTAATAATGTCTTAAAATGAATCAGAAGTGGGTCCTAACATGTAACAGTTTAGCTGACCTGATATTTACAGTACAGGGTTTTCTCCCCCGTGTTTGTCTCTTACAGTACAATGGAGTTTAATTTACCCAAAACTATAAGCAGGTTATGTGCATTTCAGTGCATACAGATTCTTCACCCCCTCAGGCTTATCAGCCATGAAACAGATGAATTTATAAGAGTTTCCGCCAGGCAATAAACCCTTTCAACAAACACAACCTGTCACACAGTAACTGCTGCATGCATTCTGTGGAAGTTGTTGCCAGGTATGGAGGAAATAAAACTAATGGGTGAAATATTGGCCCCACTGAAGTCCATGGGAGTTTTGCTATTGACTTCAATCGGACTAGGATTTCACTCAATGATTTAAAAAAAAAAAGATGGGTCCAAACTGCAAAGTTGGAATCCTGATTTGAGCTTCCTCACAATTGGAGGGTTTTTGGATCTGAGGTTATAGTCTGGGCTCACTTCTGTTTTCAAACAAGCAGAAGAGAAACAAACAGAGCAGACGCTCAGGCAAATATTGAGACAAGACAAATATGAATATTGTTATGGAGAGAAAGAAACTAAGACACAGTTCAAAAATATCATCTGATTATGATTTCCCCAGTAACTTAGCAGAAGTACGGAATAATGCATAGCAGGTTTTCAGCACCACTAAATGAGGAAGAGCAAACTAAATGGAGATGTATTATTTAGAAATGATCAGGTCTACCATTTTAATAGCATTGCCTTGGAAACAGAGTAGCCATAAAATGTGTTAACAGCTTTTTATACCTTTTTTCCTCCCCATGAATGGGCAGATATTAGAACTTTGGTTGTGGTGTAGACAATCAAGATCAAGGTGTAGTTAAAAATATGAAAGGGGAAAGAAGTAGGTAAATCTAGTAGCAAAAGTAGTCAACTGGAGGTCAGGACTACTGGTTTTTGTTCCTAGCTGTGTCACTGACCGACTGTGACAAGTTCAATAATCTATTGTGTGCTTCAGTTTACTCATCTGTAAAAGGGTACGATAGTGCTTTTCTACAGTAACTCTTGGGGTGCCAAGAGACAAATGTTTATTAAGTGCTTGGAGCTAATTGAGTGAAGGATACTCTGTAAGGGCCCTCAATGTTTAAATATTCTGCCATCTCACACAAATTGCATTATTTTATTTTTTTAAATCTAAGCCCAAACCATGCTTTGACTAGAAAGGCAGTATTAAATAAACTTGTTATGTATAAATTGTAACTTTTTTTTTAAAACCACCATAAGGTTTTGGAAGAGGAAGAATTACGCTGTCCCAAACAGGTGTCTTGAGAAACTTGGAACAGGAAGAGCCTTTTGACCTTTCCCAGAAAAGCCAAGGGAAAGGAATTTCATTTCATTCTGATGGTGAGAGTGCCAAGGGAAGCTCATGTCAGGAGGAAGAAGAAGACAACTGCTATGAAGCAGAGCAGTACAGTCCTGTCATGTACCATCATGAAAACAACAAGCTGTATATGCCCCGAGATCTGTCTAGCAAACCAGACTACGTGGTGAAAGATTTCAAAGAGTCCTACTGTGATGAGAAGGAGGAAATGTTGAGAGAAGTAGGACTGGAGAAGGGGAAAGGAAATCAAGACAAAGAAGAGAACCAAGAGGAGAGAGGCTTTGCGAATAACAAGGAATGCCTGAGCTTTAGACCCTTTGAAAAGGCCAGACTCAGCCATTCTCTCTCTGATTACCTATACTTCAAACACAGGAAGAACAGTTTAAAAGAATTACTGGAAAGGAAAATGGAAAAACAAGCAATGCTTATAGGCATCTAAATTGACAATTTTTAAGTTACACTTGGAAACTGAGAACTAGGCAGTACAATCATGGCTCTTAACATGAATTGTGATTGCCAAAGATTGACAGCTTGTAAAAGTCTTTCAGGATGAACAAGCCAAATCAATACAGATCATTTTAAGGTTAAAAAAAATATAGAATGTTGTATTTTCTGGTGTAATTTGACTGCTTTGTTCTTCTGATATACATCAACATTTTCATATGTATTTATTTGATATATAAGCAGACAATAGGGTGGGAACCGAGGTTTTATTTCCTTTATCTAGGACAATACCAACTTATACACAATTTTCTAGTTATCAAAAAGCAGTGTACTGTAGTGTTTGAGGTATTAGCTGACTAAAGAATAAATAAGAACACTTATTTCTGCAGGTTTCAAGAGCTCAAAATATGCTAAGTATTTTATAGCATATGCAAAAGTATTTTAAATATGCATGATGAAAATACTGTCATTGATCTCAGAACTAACACAACCAAGAGGTTCTGAGTTATTGAAAATGACTGCTTTAATGCATATGTTTACAGTGGGAAATGGGAAACAAAATAAGATGAAACTCTAATGTCTTGTCAGATGGGCAACAACTTTATAATTCACACTCTTGTGAAAGGACTAGAATTGGTTTAGAGGTAGGGTGACCAGATATCCTAATTTTATAGGGACGGTCCCAATTTTGGGGTCTTTTTCTTATATAGGCTCCTATTACCCCCCACCCCCTGTCCCGATTTTTCACACTTGCTGTCTGGTCACCCTATTTAGAGGCCTTTTTTCTGTGACATAGGGTATAGTAATGCTTTGCTGCATCTCTATCAGCATGGGAGCATTTAACAATTCTTGAAATTAAATAGCATGGACTGAGCTGACATTTTATTTTATTGTTTGTTCAGGCCAATACATTTGAGGAGCAGCAGCACATTGTATTTGCAAGTTTTGCTATAATTGCACATAAGCAATAAGAGAGAATTAATTTAGTTGAGCACAATGGTAAAATTTTCCCATTAATCTCTCACCTTGATTTTGGAGAGCTGTGCTATTTTGAAATCCAATATCTGAACTGCTTTTGTTTTAAAAGAAACATCAAAACAAAATACCCGTCGCCCTGCCCAAAAACACCCCACAAAAACACTGGGGTCTTGTTGTACTTCAAATCTCCCTTGATTTGACCCATAAACTTTCTCCCATTAATATAACTGACCAATAGGATCCAGCCCTTTCAAGTGATTAATGGAAAATAGAGTGCTACTTGGGCTATTCTTAATAACTCAGTCCCAAATTTTCATCCTTGGACTCATGTCTTATTATATTGTATCAGGTCCCAGACAGGGAGCACTTTATTTTTAAGCAGTATTAGTAGGTATTCATGTAGTATACGTGGAGTACTTTGACAGAGCACCCTATGTCCTTTTTTCTGGTCAATAGTAAAAGCATTTCTCAATGCACATTCCTTTAAATGTAGATTTTTTTTTTCAATCAGTGCCCTGGTTCCTGTAACTTTGAAAGATATGGCAAAGAGCCCAAAGCCATACTGTCACTTGAAAAGGAAATGATAATGTTCTAATACCTTTTTAATTAACTGTGTCCTTTTGAGTTTCAAAATCAATAACCTAATATGTTTAGATTTATATATGGATACATATATTTTGAAAAATATATGAAAATGTTTTCCCCTTATCTACCTGTCAAGCCCTCAATTTAGGATTGTGTTTTACCCCTGCAATATTTGATGTCTACAGCACATGAATTTGTTACAAGAGACACAACTATTATAGAAAATATGTTCATGGGTTATTAGGAACACATTCTGATTGCATCTGCTTCAAAATCTCAGTCTTCTACCACTAAAGGAAACCCTCTTGGCTCATGGAAGTAGTTCTCACATCCTTTCTGTTGGCCACCCGCTACAGGGAAATACCACTCATTTATGGTGTAGCATGCTGGGTTTGTGCAGTTTGACTCCGTAGGAAAAGATATGCTGTCATTTCTGTCCACCTTCCAAGGCAAATATATGGGACACAATAAATAACAAAGATTCTGAATGAGGAGCACAAAAATATTACTCCTCCAGGAAACTTAAGGATGGCGGATCCATTTCTATAGTGTAATTAACTCTTTCTGATGTGAATAATTTTAACAATAAAAGCCTGGGTACACCAAATTTGTGTGGAATGCAGGTAACTTTGGGACTAAAATGAATGATGCCACTCAAAATGAGGTACATTTGAAAGAACATAAGAACGGCCATACTGGGTCAGACCAAAGGTCCATCTAGCCCAGTATCCTGTCTTCTGACAGTGGCCAATGCCAGATGCCCCAGAGGAATGAACAGAACAGGTAATCATCAAGTGATCCATCCCCTGTCTCCCTTTCCCAGCTTCTGGCAAACAGAGGCTAAGGACACCATCCCTGCCCATCCTGGCTAATAGTCATTGATGGACCATGAACTTATCCAGTTCTTTTTTGAACCCTGTTATAGTCTTGGCCTTCACAACATCCTCTGGCAAAGAGTTCCACAGGTTGACTGTGCAGGTATGACCTGCAGACATTCAGTGATGGGTCCATGCCCTTTTATCATATGCATAAGTTGTACATTTTTTCATTGTGAGACAGTCCAGTCTAGTCATTACATTCAAAAAGGGGCCTTAGGTTTAGGTGTCTATCTTGAAAGCAGTATGGTTGCAGAGGTAGCATAGCCTAGTGCATAAAATAATGGGCTTGCATCATCATACTGCAGTTCTGTTCCTGGCTTTACCACCAGACTGCTGGGTCACACTGAGCAAGAACTACAGATGAAGAATGCTACTTAAAAGCTAGGTATTATTATTATGTGATAAGAGACAAAAGGTCACATGAAGTGCACCAGTCAAAAGATACAAGACAGCAGCTACTCACCCAAACACAATCTTATGCAATATGGGCCAGATTTTTTATAGCTCACTACTCACAGTCAGCCAGATTTTCAAGAGAACTCACTTCCCACGTAGGCACCAAAGTAAGTGACCAGATTTTCAAGAGTGCCCAGAGTGCTGGTGAGTGTTTTTAAACCTCTAGCCCTGGCTGGAGAATGCTGAAATCTGGCCCTGAGCTCTTCTGAAAATTTGGCTACAAAGGTGTGGATGCTGCATTAGTGACATAACCACTAAAATGTTGGCTGTGGAAAAGGTTGCAACAAACTTACATAGTCTTAGACCCCACCAAATTCAATTGCCAAGTGGGCCCTTTGTAAAATAAGTCACTGCAACTACATCAACTTGCCTGGCTGAGTAGCCCAAAGCTTCCAACAACACCTTAATTGTCACCAGCTTTCCCCCTTCCTGCTCATATAATCCCATTTCCCCTCAGAACAACAGTGAGATGCAGTCCTGTAGTTGAAAGGAAAGGATAGTCTTCCCCAAAATGGCATTACCATTTGGGAACCACCAGTATGGTTTGAAACCTGATGTAAACCCCTCTTCTCACAGCTGTCCCAGAAAGCAAAGACCACCACAGTTTTCTTTCCATGAGGTTCTCAGGCAGTCCCAGTCTACTCATTCCCTCAGCCATCAACCATCCTATGCTAATTCATCTTAGATCTATAAAGCATCCATGAATCAGAGAATGGCAGAGGAATTGCAAACAAAACGATTACTGAGATAATGATAATGGCATGGCACAAAGTGACACAAGCAAAGAGATGCAGAAAGAATAGTCCATCTGTAGATGCCTCCATATTGCAGGATATAGTGTAGCTGGAGCTGTGAAATCTGCCATACGTGGGTCTAAAGGAACAAATTAAGAAGAGTCTCCATTGTGAAATACCTTGCTTTTCTTTTAATTGATCTTCACATTATTTACATTCCTATTTTTGAAGAATGGATATTAAGAGTCTTTAATAGTTTAAAAATTTCTTGTAGAAATAAAAATTGCACTGACAAGGAAGGTCTTTTCCAGATCTAATTTCTATGTGCGCAACTTTGATCATCTGCTCTGCCTATAGGCATGGAACTGCTCCAGGTTTAGATTATAAAGGAGGCCTACAGTGCAAGGTGGCACAGGAAGCTTCACTTTATTCATTTTCTATAATCTGGACCTTTATAATTGTATGATATTTTTAAAACATTTTAGAGGATGCCTCGATGTGGCCTCTACCTGATTCTCCCAAACTGCCTCAGTGGCCACTTTGGCACAGCAGGTCAAATTAAAGCTCAGCTACCATGAAAGCTATAGATCCAATTAGGTCATACTCGTTTCCTTGGTTATTATTGGAATCCGATTCCACCCTTCAGAACTGATTAATAGTGAGTTCAAAGGGTCTACAAATGTACTTGACTGAAATTCTTTGCAGAGCACTTGCTCAAGGAGCTCCATAGAAGCCTACTGAAGAATGGTAGATTGGCAATGTCATCAGGAGTGTGGGCAGGAGTGGGGTCAGGACACATATAGATTATAAGTAGGTAGTTTTACTATCAGGGCAGCACTGGGATGTTTGAGTTCTGCAAGGTACTGTACAGAGCAGAGTAAGCAAGCAACAAATTCAGGTGTCAAACTAAACTCAGGATGAAGAGCTATGGCACATCCACTAAAATTTGCATTATTGATAATGTGCTGCTGCCTGAGCAAGCATTGAACTTTGCCTTGAAGAATTTGGTAACATCTTTTATGGCCTCAATTTTGCAGGCTGCTGAGCATCTCCTAGAAGGGCTTTACCATACACTTCCTGGCTTTTATAACATGTTAGCTATAGCTTGTTTATCAGACAGGCCAAGTGGTCTTTTCATGCTGCCACCGCATTCCTCTTTTTAGAGCTCTGTGCTGGTTGTGTAGCCAATTTTCTAATCTCATAATTCATCTGGTGCTGCTGGACTCAGGTGCAGCTGGTGTATAATTAAGAAGTGTAATGTAAGTACTGTATTTATTGTGCCAAAAAGTATTTAATAAAGTATTAACATGTTTTTTGGTAATAAGTTGTGTCTGCTTAGCTGAACAAGATGTAACAGAGCTAACATTTTGTACTCAGCAGATTTGGAAAAAATATTGCAGTAGATGTTTATTTCCTACAGAATGCTGGTTTGCTATTTAAAAACAAAAACTCAAAAGAATGAA